CAAGTTTTGGAAAGACTGAGCAAGAACTCTCCTTTATTTCTATTTTACAAGACCCTTCCTCACCCTCTGCACAGATGTGAAAATACTTACATGGACAAGTTAGGAGATGGAACCCCCCTATCATCAGCTAGGTTCCCAAGGTGGCTCAGCGTTGAAGTCGAACTGTTCTCTATACAGCACTTCTCCTAGGCCCTCTGGGTAGTTGTATACTTGGTCAGAAAGTTCGCCCTAAAGAAGAAAATAAAAAGATATAAGTCATATGCTAAAAAATGCTAGGTTGTGCTTCAGGAAGGTTAAGTTGATGCAAAGATTAAGTTCAGGAAGAAGTTTCAGTTTGAACTGTTTCATTAAAGCACATTACACAAAATGATGTTTTCAAAGGGTTTATCATGGTATCAAATACTGTTTTTATACAGTAAGCATTTCCAAGCTGCAAGAATACGTAACTGACAGAATTTGAGGTCATGGTCACCTTACCAAGTTGCTCTATCTACCTCAATCAGTTTCCAGGCTTCACCCAATTCCATTTTTGCTTTTACTTACTCTAAAACCCAAATTTCTCAGTGGCCTAAAATTTTTAAATGTCCAAGTGCTCTCACTAACCTAACATGTATGCAAGATTTTATATGTGTATCTAATAATCTGAAACTAACCAGAACCTTTCTTTTAATCTCCAAATTCCAAGTTTTTCTTTGCTTAAGTATAAAATCCTACTACATATTAAAAAGAAAAGCATAGTTTGTGCCTTAGCTAATACACTATGTATACATGTGAAATAACTTTTGAGACCTGCCTAACATATCTGACAAGTAACAGAGGTTTACCTCCTTCTTATTCCTAACCTATCTACATCTAAGTCACTCTACTATCACTAGGAACAACATATGAATGTAAACATGCTTGACACTCTACAAAATGATAAGTTTTAGAAATGGTTTTTATCTATTAAGATTTGACTGAACAGACTTATCACCTCTAACCTAAACAACTAAACCTACACTTCTATTTGTACTTCAGTGATTGCTATTTTAAAGTAATACAACCTGACAGTATTTCCAGAAGATGGGGGTAAGAATGAAAACAGAATAATGATGAAAGGTAGGAATAAAATAAAAAAAAATATGGGGGGGGGGGCGGTGGAGAAGATACAGGGAACACTAAATCTGTGTCATTTAGAGTGGTGTTTATATCAGTTGGATCATGTACAACACTGTAATCAAATCTCTTAGTTGACTGAAGAGAATGTCCCTTGCTACACTATCTTGGCAAATAGCATAGAGAGAACTAGAGTTAACTGAGTCAGCAGCTGACCAATAAAAAGCACCGAAAACCTCCCATCACTTTGACAGTAACTACCCAGAAACTTAGTATCCCCAAAGTTATCAGTATGTCTCACCTTACACTGCCTTTATCAATGACTTTGGTATTCTTTCCAAAACTCCAAAAGCCCAGCCTAATCATGAGAAAAATTATCAAACAAATCCAAATGGGGGACATTTTATTGGATATTTGGCTGGTAATTCTCTAGACTGTCAAAGACACGACAACTAAATGCGATGTGGCACCTTAGACTGGACCCTAGACAAAAAGGACATTAAAAACTGGTGAAATCCAAAGAAAATCTGGAGTTTAGGTGGTAGGCATCCAGTCCCATCACTCCATGGCAAACAGATGGGGAAACAGTGGCACACTTTTTTTGGAGGGCTCCAAAAATCACTGCAGATGGTGACTGCAGCCATGAAATTAAAAGACGCTTACTCCTTGGAAGGAAAGCTTTGACCAACCTAGACAGCGTATTAAAAAGCAGAGATGTTACTTTGCCAACAAAGGTCTGTCTAGTCAAGGCTATGGTTTTTCCAGTAGTCATGTATGGATATGAGAGTTGGACTATAAAGAAAGCTGAGCACCAAAGAAGTGATGCTTTTGAACTGTGGTGTTGAAGAAGACTCTTGGGAGTCCCTTGGACTGCAAGGAGATCAAACCAGTCCATCCTAAAGGAGATCAGTCCTGAGTGTTCATTGGAAGGACTGATGTTGAAGCTGAAACACCAATACTTTGGCCACCTGATGCAAAGAGCTGACTCATTTGAAAAGACCCTGATGCTGGGAGGGATTGGGGGCAGGAGGAGAAGGGGACGACAGAGGATGAGATGGTGGATGGCATCACCGACTCAATGGACATGAGTTTGAGTAAACTCCAGGAGTTGGTGATGGACACGGAAGCCTGGCATGCTGCAGTCCATGGGGTCGCAAAGTGTCACATACAACTGAGCTACTGAACTGAACTGAATGTATCAAAGTCAGTTTCTTAATTTTGACAAATGTACCATCTCTTATAAGGTAAACTAGGTGAGAAGTATGAAGTAATAACTGTATTATCTTTGGTACTTTTCCGCAAATCTATAACTATTTCAAAATAAAGTTGTTTAAAGAAAAAAAAAATCAAGCAAAGTATTCATATAATAAACTACTCGGCAGTTAAAAGGAACCATTTACTGATGAGTGCACTGTGGATGAGTATCAAAAACAATCTGAATTAAAGAAACCTTTCACACAATATATACAGTTTCACATATGTGGAAGTTGTAGAACAGACTTCCATAATAACTGCTGCTGCTAGGTCGCTTCAGTCGTGTCTGACTCTGTGCGACCCCATAGACAGCAGCCCAGTAGGCTCCTCTGTCCCTGGGATTCTCCAGGCAAGAGTACTGGAGTGGGTTGCCACTTCCTTCTCCATCCATAATAACTAATCTATGGTTAATAAAAAGAACAGTGACTGCCTTTGTGGGTAGTGAGGGATGGAGCTAGAAGGGGCAAGAGAGAAGTTTCTGGGTTTGATGGCACTCTTCTCATCTTTGATAAAGGTCTGTATTACACAGCTGTATTTTTGTCAAAACTTGTCAAATGGTATATTCAAGATGTGCATTTTGCTGTTATGTAAATTTTACCCAATTTTAAAGAAATATTTAAACTGTTAAACTAATGATATGTGCATACTGAAGTTGGAGGGGTAAAGTGTTCTGGTGTCTCCGACTTACTTTGAAATACACAGAATAAAGATTGATGAATGAATAGAGCAATTACAAGTAAAGCAAAATGTTAACCGGTTACTGAATCCAGGTGAGGGTACAATTCTTTCACACCCTCTGTATGTTTGAAAATGTTAAACCTGAGTGGCAAGAGGGACAGCACTGATTACTTGACTATGGTACCTTCCATTATCACCTATGACCATCAGGAGCCTATATCTTTCCCACTAACTCTTCAGGGCTTATTTGCCTTCATAACCAGCATCTGCACTCTCCTATATTTGTAAAAGAAATCAAAGGGTTGGTAGGGCTCTGCCCTATAACCATTCGCTGTATTTCTGCCAGGCTTATCTATAACAACCTTTCCTCATCACATATCGACTCTCTCCCTTGAGCCTTCATGTTCCCATCCAAGCAAGAGAGTCTCAACGGTGGAAACACGACAGGACACAAAATATCTTAATGTGTCCACGATGCAACCACAAAATCCACTTAAATCTGCTGAAATATCATGGGGCCTTTAACAGTGCGCCAGACCTTTTCAGGCTGCCGAATCAGTAGCTTAGCCTAAGAAACACACGTTTTCCAAATACACACTGTAAAAGGCTGTTAAAACACCACCGTTGGTGGAAATTGTCAGCCGCTCAGTCGTGTCCGACTCTTTGCGATGCCATGGACTGTAGCCCGGCAGGCTCCTCTGTCCATAGGGATTCTCCAGGCAAGAATGCTGGAGTGGGTTGCCATTCCCTTCTCCACGGGATCTTCCCGACTCAGGGATCGAACCTGGGTTCCCTGCATTGCAAGGCAGATTCTTTCCCCGTCTGAGCCACCAGGTAAGTACTGAAACACCACCATTAACTGCCAAAATAGTACTTGATAAGCCACCCAAGCCTACTGCTCTCCCTCTCTCGGCCCAGGAATCGTGGCGCGGACTGGAAAACGAAGCCATGGTGACTAATCCTTGGGCTCCAGGAGGCGGCCCGGGGTGAGTGAAGGCGACTCGGCCCAATCGCCAGCGCCGCAGGGGGCGGGGCGGCAGCCCCGAGGCTTCCAGAAGGGGCCAAAGGCCTCTAGCTCGCTACCTGACACCGGGGCTTCCCCGCCACCGGGCCCCTTGGCGGCGTCAACTTTCCTCCGGCAGAGAGGGGAGGGCCGCGTTCTCAGCACCCTCAGGCACCCGTCCTCCCCCGGCAGCTGTCACAGGAGGCCGGCGCCGGGCCCGCCCCGCTCCATTCATAACCTAAGGCCGCGGCGGTTGCAGACGGTCGCGCCGCCCGCCCGGGATCCCGAGACGAAGGCGCGGCGCGGCGCCGCTCAGAGCCGGGCGGCGGCACCAGGGCCCCTCGGGGCTGCAGCCCGGCCCCCTCCCCGGAAACAGCAATGCACCACGGGAGCGGGGTGGGGGCCGCCTGCCGCCGGGAGGCGACGCCGAGCCCCGCGGCGGCGAGACCCCCGAGCGCGCCCCCCAGTCCACACATAGACACACACGCACACGCCCCCTCGCCCCAACCGCGGCCGATCAGGGCTCGGCTCGGCGGCCACCCGAGGCGCGCCAGCCGCCCCAGCCCGCCGCGCCGCCGCCGGGCCACCGACCGCCGCCGCCACACACGCCGCCAGCCGCCATGTTCGAGGTGGCCGGCCGCGGGGACGCTGCGGGGAAACGCCGGCCGGTCGGCGGGGCCCAGCCTGAGGCGGCCGACAGCTGCCCGAGGCCGACCCACCCCCCGGCGCCCCGCGCCCCGGCCCCGGCCCCGCCCGCGCCCCTCGGGTCGCTACTCACGTGAGATAACGGCCCAAAGAGTCGGGTAAAGCGTCTTCTCTTTTTCGGCGGAATTTTTAAAGAGGGATGTGGTTACCTTGAGCAGAAATACCCAAGGCGGCCTGGGCCATAGGCTGCAGGGACGACGTGGGGGGGAAAGCGCGGCACCGACACCAGCTGTGCAACAGCGGCGGCGGCGGCCGAGGGAGAGAAATGGAACAACGGCGCGGGCAGAGGGAGAAGAAAGACGAGAGGGCTGGGTGCGGAGAGGATTCGGCCTCGTCACACCGCAGAGCTGGAGAGCGAGAAAGGGTGAGAAGAGGCAGAGAAGGCGGAGGAAAAAAAAGAAAAGAACGAAACACACGGCAACCCAGCGAAGAGCCAGCGAGTGTGGAAGGCGGCGCCGGCGACGCTAGGCTTTATATCGAGGGGCGGGGTTTGGTGACGTCACAGCCGGCCGGGCAGCCGCGCAAGCCGGACGGCGCGGGGCCACGGCGCGGAGAGGAGGGAAGCGGGCGGAAGAGAGAGAGGGCCGGCGTGGGGCGAGCCTAAGGGGGCGGGGCGGGGCGAGCCGCGGTGCAGGTGCCTGTCCCCGCTCCGCTCCCCGTCCCCCGCCCCCGGCCTCTTCCAGCCCTCCGCCGCATCCCCGGCCGGTGAAGGGCCAGCTGCGCGGACTTGGGCGGGCGGGGGAGAAGGGAGGTGGCCGGGACAGAGCGCGGCGTCGCCCGCGCCCCCGACGCCCGGGCGCCTGCGCTCACGCCGGAGGCGGGCCGGGGCGCTTTGGGAGCTGGGCCCGGAGGCCGCGGCGCCGAACGCGGTTCAGGCCCGAAGCTGGCGCGACGCCTACACTGCCTAGAACCTGCTCTGCCTGGAAGAGGGTGAAAGAGGGCGGCCACCCCCGGAGCTTCCCGCGCCCGCCCCCTCCTCGAGAGCTCTCCGCTTTGTGCGGGCTCTGTAGGCTACGCCTGGGGACTGCCCTCCCGGGGTGAAGCTTCAGCCCCCGCGGGATGCGGCGCTCCTTTTTTTTTGGAAGCGAGTTTCTAAGGGCCAGAACGGCTCGGCCCAGTGTTCGGGTGGTTGCAGGGGCTTGTGACCGCGTGGGCATGTCCCCAGTGTTCGCACGTTGCAGTGTGGTGCAGTAGGAATTTTTTTTTTTTTTTATTAAAGGAGTGTGGCTTTTACGTCTTTATTTTTACAAGGGGTGAGGTCGGCCGACCTGGTCTTTATTCATGAAGGACATGTATTGGAGAGGGCATTACCGACGTTAGACGGGCACAGTACTTTAATTCCCTCTGTCTCATTGCGCGGTCATTTTAATTTTACTACTCCAGAGCAAACTTATTTTTACTGGGGAACCTAGGACGACCTACATGGCTTTTAATTTATTCTCATGTTTTTAAAATGTCTTCGCGCTCTCCCATCAGAAACCCTGAGTTCCTCCCGTGCTGACGCCTTACAGCTCAGACGCAACGGCACGAATGAAATGTATATTGACACACACTCCAAAATCTTTGCGATGAAGACTGAGACTTTTTTCCGCTGGCATTTCTTGACCATATGTTAACTTTGTAGCACTGTGGTTGCTACAAATAAGATACGAAAGGAAAAGAGAGCTTTCTTGGGTAAGAAGATAGCAATGCTGAATATAGGCTCTGAGGTGAAAGTATTAGGTAAAAACCAGGGGTTGTGGACTCTATTCCTGATTTCATATTTCCATATTAAACTGTGCTGTCTCTTGGTTTTTTCTTTCATTCCTTAAAAATTCTTTTCGTTTCAGAACATTTACAAGCACAGCACTTTACCAGACCCCCTGCTGGAGGGAGGAAGGCTAGAAATGAATACCCTTGAAGTCTTGATAAGTCTAGCAGTGGAAATAAGACCAACTACACCAAATAACTAAGTTATTGTTGTAAGCAGATAAAATGCTGTGTGGAATCTAGTGGAAGGGGGAAATAACCGCAGCTCAGTGAGAGAAAGGCTACTGGGGAAAGGTAGAGACAGATTTTGAGAGCAGACACTCCAGACAAGGGAAATAAGTGACTTTGAGAGCAGATATTCCAGGCAGCGGAACTACTTGAGAAGGCACAGAAATGGGCCAGTTCAAAGAACTGTGAACTAGCTTTCTGGCTCCAACATAGGTACCGTTGCAAATGAGATTGAAAAGGAGGGTGAGGTGAAACGTAGGGATCATAGCTTGAACTTCATTTTGGAACCATTTAATCGGGGACATGATATTTTTAAAAGATTTCTCTAGCATCAATGTGATTGAAAATAGAAAGTTTGGAAGAGAGGAAACCATGAAGGTGACTATTACATAGTTAAGAGAAGCAGGAAATTTGGAATAGAGGAGAGAAAGGCATAGATGAAGGCATAGAAAGAGTAGGGATAATTTTGAATGTTAAGGGAGAGGAAAGAAAGAAAGTGAAGTTCCTCAGTCGCGACCCCAGGGGCTGTAGCCTACCAGGCTCCTCCATCCATGGGGTTTTCCAGGCAAGCATACTGGAGTGGGTTGCCACTCCCTTCTCCAGAGGATCGTCCCAACCCAGGGATCGAACCCGGGTCTCCCGCTTTGTAGGCAGACGCTTTACCGTCTGAGCCACCAGGGAAATATGATTTGGGGATATGAAACTAATCAACAGGGAGAATTATGAAATCACAAATGGAGAGAGAATGTCCCAGTTTAGGGGAAGACTATGAGCCTTCCTTGAGCATAGTCCAAGCTGTCGATAGGATATTCATGTAAAAATAGTCCTAAGGCCCCTGAAAACACAAATCTGGAGCCCTTTTGGCTGTAAATTTGAGACCCTCTCCTATAGACATGGTAATTAAGGAAATGTTAAGGTCTAAAGGAAAAGGGATCTAAGCACAGGATTTAAAGAAATGCCTGAGGGAGAGAAAGAGGACCAGCCCAAGGAGTAGGAGAAGAATCACAATAGTGTGAGGACAAGCCATTCATGGAGGGTGTTCCAAGATGGAATGAATGATCGGAATGTCATCTTCCTGAAAGGGATTCTTCTGATTTGGGAAAATGGCATGTCATCGTTAAACTCCATACTCATGCTAAGAAGTTTGGATCCTTAGCCAAAAATATTTCAATCATAAGGGTGAGTTGAATTTTAGAAAAGGGGAGAGTGTGAGGGTGAGAAAAGGGACTATATATTTGTGGCAGGAAGAACACTTGGAAAGCTATTATAAGGAGAATGATAAGGGCCTGAAAAGAAGTTATGCGTGACCTTTAACTGAATAATTTCAGTGGAGTGAGAGACACAGAACATGGCAGAGGTTCGAGTCAAGAGAAGCTGAGATGAAGTCAGCGAATGTCCACTCTTTCAGCTGGACTAGACCCTACTCCATCATTGTTTATACAGTGAAGCAGCTCAACAATTTATTATTCAAACCATGTACTCGCTCAATTAGTATTTGTGTATTCAAATCTAAATCATACTAGCTTTTATTGCATACAACAGAGCCTTAAAAACTGTCCTGCAACGAACTAGACAGCATAGTAGGTAACTTTAACAGAATGATAGCTGCCTAATGAGAACAGCATGTTTAATTGTGTTTCGGGTTTGAGGTTTGGGGTTTTTTGCCAAGTCAAGTTACTCATACACAAATCACAGGTAGTGCCAGAGAAAGTATTATTTTTAAATAGAGAGCCTTAAGATAAAATAATACCATTCACACTTAGATCATCCTGGTTTATTGATTCAAACTTGTTTGCTTTTGTGCCAACAGATGTAAAAGACTGAATGAATTAGATCGTTGATAAAGACAAGTCACTCAAAAAACAATGGGTAACCCTAAAATTACCAGCCTATAATAGAAATATCTTGTAGTCACCTATATAAATGTGACAAACAGTCCAATGGTAACTGAGCATGGATATCATAGTTTAATGGGAATGCTTGAAAAGAGCTTAGTAAGAATTTTTATTGTGATACCATGCAGGGCCCTGTGGAGCACCTGGGCACAGAGCCTTTCTGGGTCCCTCATTTCTTTGATTATGGAAAACAGCTTTCATTTAGCCTCCATGACCTTGCCTTAGTGTGCAGTGGGCAGATTCAAGCTGTCGTTAATTAAGGAAGGGAGGGGATGCAAGACCAGGGAGAAATAGTCAAGAGTAGTCTTGGGACAAGGTCCTGCTTTCCCATCAATGGATATGAGTGAGTGAGTGAGTGAGTGAGTGAGTGAAAGTCACTGTGGTGTCTGACTCTTCGAAACCCCAGGGACTATACAGTCCATGGAATTCTCCAGGCCAGAATACTGGAGTGGGTAGCATTTCCTTTCTCCAGGGGATCTCTCAGGGTTCAACCCAGGTCCCTCACATTGCAGGTGGATTGTTTACCAGCTGAGCCACAAGGGAAACCCATCAATGGATATACACAGCAATTTCTTCAAACTATTTTGTAGATACTGAAACCCCTTCCAGGAGGCAGAAGTTTCGGATCAGTGATGGTATGCTGACCCAAAGCATGTAAACCCCAGACCTGTTGGACTTGAAGGTGGATGATGCCGACTCCTAGTTAGCTCACTACCAACCCATCAGAAGAATGTCCACAAGCTGATCATGCCCTCTTTGAACAATTACTATAAAACTCATCACTATTTTCCCCAAATTGGGACACTTAGTTTGGCGGGCATGAGCCCACTGTGCCTCTTTACCTGGCAAAGCAATAAAGCTAGCTTTTCTGCTTCACCCAAAACTCTGTCTCTGAGATTTGATTCGGCATCAGTGTACAGAGAGGCTGAGTTTCGTCACCAACTGCTAAGAAACATTCTTTAGAGTACACTTTATTTTATAGAAAACAAAAATATATAGGTTTAGAATAGTTAAAACATTCACACTTTAAGACGTCATATTTCAGTTGTCTACCACATCTTTTTGTACACTGATGATCTTCTGTAAAAGCAACTTGCTTATCAAGAATCTGGCACTGTGTCTTTTATAGACTAGTAAAAATCCAAAATCACGGCAGATGGTGACTGCAGCCATGAAATTAAAAGACACTTTCTCCTTGGAAGAAAAGCTATGACCAACCTAGACAGCATATTAAAAAGCAGAGGCATTACTCAGCCAACAAAGGTTCAATAGTCAAAGCTATGGTTTTTCCAGTAGTCATGTATGGATCTGAGAGTTGGACTATAAAGAAAGCTGAGCACTGAAGAATTGATACTTTTGAACTGTGGTGTTGGAGAAGACTCTTGAGAGTTCCTTGGACTGCAAGGAGATCAAACCAGTCCATCCTAAAGGAAATCAGTCCTGAATATTCAATGGAAGGACTGATGCTGAAGCTGAAACTCCTATACTTTGGCCACCTGATGCAAAGAACTGACTCATTAGAAAAGACCCTGATGCTGGGAAAGATTGAAGGTGGGAGGAGAAGGGGATAACAGAGGATAAGATGGTTGGATGGCATCACCGATTCAATGGACATGAGTTTGAGCAAGCTCTGGGAGTTGGTGATGGGCAGGGAAGCCTGGTGTGCTGCAGACCATGGGGTCTCAAAGAGTTGGACATGTCTGAGCGACTGAACTGAGTGAACTAAACTGAA